GGGGGTGGTTCCCTGGCTGGAGAGGAAAGTCGGTGAAGGGAACGCTTCAGACCCAGAGCGGGCATCTCGTGTTCCAAACATTCCTTTTTTCTCACTGGTGACGTCTCCAAGTCAAAACTTCTGCTGCACACTCTGGGTTTTCCCTGCCCTGTGGTCTCTCTGATCATTTCTGCCTGCCTTGTAAGGAGAAGGGAGAATGAAATCCAAGGGTTTGCCCACATGATAAACATAACTTGGAGGCTTTTCCAGGTTACTGTGCCCCCTGCCCCTCCCTGGCATCTGGGGCTGTGCCAAGCCCTGCTGGGTGCCAGCCTTGCCCAGGGACAGTGTGTGATGCCAGCTGGTTGTGGATAAATCAGATTGCAGCAGGGGTGGCACCTCGGGCTCTGTTTGTGCTCCCTGGGGGGGTGAGCCAGGGTGGGAATTGTGCTCCCAGTTTGGTGCTCGGGGCTCGGACTGGTGCAGCTGGGAGCTGTGGGAAGCAGGTGTGTGTTCCACGTGTCCTTGGGCTGTGGAGAGGGTGATGTGGAGCTGGTGGGAAGGGAACAGAACTTCCTGAAAGAAGGAAAAATGTGGCTGGAACACGGGGGGAGGCTGAGGGTGCTGAGGGAGGGTGGCTGTGCTGTGCTGGGGAGCTGACCCCCATCTCCTGCCCTGCTCCTCTGCAGTGTGGGATCCTCCTGGGAGCCATGCTGCTGATCTTCTGCTCGTGGATGACCCACCAGTCCTGCATGTTCCTGGTGAAATCAGCCAACCTCAGCAAGCGCAGGACCTACCCTGGCCTCGGTGAGACCCCAGCTCTGGGGCTGCTCCCAGCCCTGCTGCTCCTCTGACAGTACCACGACCTTCCTTGGCCTCCCAGGCTGCATTTCCTCATTGCTGCTGCTGGAACAACAAATGGGTTTTTTTTCCTGCAGTTCCCAGTTTCCCTGTTGTGCCTCAGCCTCTCCCCGGGGCGGTGCTGGGTTGGATCCTGCTGCCACAGCCCTGGTAATGGGTGCTGAGTTGCTTTGGCTCTGCAGGGCAGGGAGGAGAGGATCCAAACCCCAGCTCCCGGGAGCCATCTGGGATGAATTGTGGGGCTGGGATGAATTAATTATGGGTCTGGGCACGAGCTCCCCACCCACCCAGCCAGTGCTGCTGGGACAGCGGGTCCTGCCAGCCTGGCACAGAGCTGGAGGCTGCCTGCATCCGAGCTGGGAGCTCCTTTATGGCTCAGCAGAGAGGAAACAGAGCGAGCTTCCAGAGGGCTGAGAAAACAAAAACATCTGGAAGATCCCTGGGTGGGTTTTGGCCGTGCCAAAACCTCGGAGCTGAGCGCTGGCGCCGGGTTTGGCCTCTGCTCGTGGCCTCTCTTGGGATTCTGGCTGCCCTGGGGAGCAGGAGGAGGTGTTTGGGTTCCTCTCCTTGCTGCTGGCATATGGAGCAGCAGGAAAAGTCTCCTTTCCCTCGTCCTGCCCTGCTGTTGTGTGGGAGGAGGGAGCTGTTTGGCGCTGCCCCGGCACAGGGGCTCCAGCAGCTGCTGACAGATGGGGCTGCTCCTCCCTCAGGGCGCCCGAGGTGCTGCTCCAGGGAGCACATCCCGGCCTCTGCCTGCTTGTATCTGCTAGGAGCAGACAAGAGGGAGAAGCCCCGTGGCTGGGAGGCTGTTCTGGTGCCAGGAGAAGGAGGAGTGCCCACCCAGCTGCTGCCCCTCCCTGCCCCTCACAGGGCGCCTTTGTGCGCCGCTTCCCGCAGGACACAGAGTCCCCGCGCCTTGGAGTGTGTCCCGGGGAGAAGGGATCCTCTGCCCGCCCAGGAGCCAAGGGCTGCCATACAGAGAGGGCCAGCAATGCCTCCCAGCTTCCTCCTGGCAGGGGGGGCTGGCAGCAGCGCCGTGCCCACCCCCGGGCCCTGGCAGAGGTGCCACGCGCATGCCAATGCTGCGGGCTCGGGCAGCTCCACACAGAGCCCTTTGTCCCCTCAGCCCGGGCCCGGGGACATCTGCGGGCACTCCTGGGAGGCTTTGGCACCGAGGGAGCTTGTGCACATTCCCTGCAGGCGGGCACAGCCTTCCGGAGGAACCCCAGCAGCCGTGGCACGGGCACAAAGGCTGGCCCAGGCCGGGGCTGGCACTGCCCCCTCACCACTGAGGGAAGGGGAAGGGCTGCAGGGTGAGGAGAGAAGGACAGGAAGATCCCAGATGGGTTTTAACAGGAGATGAGGGAATCCCTCCCCTTCCAGCAGCACTCAGGATGTGCTGGGGCTGTGCTGGGCAGCTCAGCCCTGCAGGGCCAGGGGATGAAGCTCTGTCCCAGGAACCACACTGGTCTGAAAGGCTTCTCCAGGTACTGAGCAAGCTCTACCCAGTTTGGGGGCATTCCAAGATCCCATTCCAAGGATTTGACTGTGCCATTTATTTTACTTTCGTTACCTCCTGGAGAAGATAAAGAATCCCATTTTTCCATTGTCCCTAGGTGGGGACTCCTGCCCGCAGTGTTTGGAGGCTTTGTTCTCCTTGAGCATCAATTCCAAACAGGGCAGATGGGCTGGTTCCAGCATCACCCAGGGCTGTGTCCATATCCAGCAGCTGGAATGTGCTCTGGGAGGATCAGCAGCCCCATTCCTCCATCCCCCCACCCCAAGCTCAGCCTGTTACTGCCCCATCTCCAGAGGGATGTTTTCCTCTTGCTGGCTCCTCTTTCTCCTCCCAGTCCCTTTGTCTGTGGGCCTGACCCCCCCAGAGCTGTTGCCTTTTCCCTCCTGGCTGTGAATTCCCAGAGGAGGCCGCTCCCCGTGCCCGGGCACGCTGCCTGGTGGCGCCTGTCCCACTGCCCTGTCACTGATCCAGCTGCTATTTTGGGTGCTCCCCCACATCCCTGCTCGGGGCTGTGGGTCCCTGCCGTGCCTTTTGCTCCTTCTGTGGGAGAACATCTCGTTTCCTGAACTTTTAGCTGGAGCAGAGTCCAAGGAAATCAAGAGTTGAAGCTAATATTTAAAATAGCAGAAGAAGCTTCCAGAAAGGATCTGAGTTTGTTTTCTGGCGGGCTCTGGGAATGTTGGGCTGTGCCTTGAGGGAAGGCAGAGGGGACTCCAGGCTGGTGGGTTCATGCTGGACCTCACTGGCAGATTTGGGCACTGTGGTCTGGGTTTGGCACCGGAGCTCCCCATTCCCGTTCTGCCCAGCAGGAGCTAAAAATAGAAGCAAAGTTTTTTCTTGGCATTGTCTTTTTAAGAGAAAACCCAGTGATTTGAGGACTAGTGAGCATTTTGTGCTCCAACCCCAGGATGGGAGGGAGGGAAAGCACAGCCTTGGCAGCAGCCCTTTGGTGTGGGTTGGGAGCACTGGGTATTCTGGGAATGGGATTGAACGTTCTGGGCACCAGCTCAGCTCTCCCAGCCAGCCATGTCGGGCAGCCCAGTTCGAGGGGGAAGATAAAAATAAAAAGGGGACTTGGACTGGAATTCTGCACCACTTTAACTTTCGCCACACACAATCTTGTACAGGAATATTTTCTCTCCCATTGCCTTTAATGGCTGCCATGTGTGGCTGCTGCTTCACACCACTTCTGGTTTTAAATAGAAAAAAAAGAACCTGCTTGCTGGCTTTCCCTCATCCCTGCTCCTGTCTTATGTGGTTTTCAGTTTCCAGAGAGAAAGGCTGAAAAAGAAAGTGGGAGGGTGAGGGAAACGGCCCCAAAATACCAGTGGTGGGTTCTTGCTGCACTGCCCCGTGTCACTGCTGGTGTCTAATTGTGAACTGACATCTTGCCCTGTTCTGGACCTTTCTTTGACTAACTTCCACTCTTTTTTCCCTTTTATGCCAGCATTTCATGCCTATGGAAAAGCAGGAAAAATGTTGGTGGAAACAAGGTAAATCTGCTGCCGATTCAAAGTGTGAACAGTTTGGGTGTCTGTGGTGGAAACCTTTCTGAGCCTTGCTGTGCTCTCCTTCCTGCTGGAATCCCACAGGAGCTGGGTGAGATGCCCTGAGCACAGCTCCAGGTGTCACCTCCATCCCTTCCAGCACTTCCCAGGCTCTGGGAGCACAGAAGGAGGGGATGAGCTGCTCTGCTGTGAAATCCCAGCCGTGTCACTCGTGGCAGCTCTCCAGGGGTGCCGTCCCTGCTGGTGGGTTGGTGGCAGGGGCTGTTTCCTTCCTTGGATCCCAGGATCTGCTCTGCTCCTGCCCTCTGTGCTCCCTGCCCTGTGGGATGCCTTCAGGGGGAGTCCTGCCTCCATCTCTGCTTCCTCCCATGACCCCAGTGCAGATGTGAGGTGATGGCACAATGCTCAGAGCCCTGCTTTTTCCAGCAGGGATTCTTTTCCAGGCACGCTGAGCCCAGGGCCGGCAGCGGTGCCGGCTCCTTGGCTCTTCCCAGCTGCAAACTTCTGCTCAGCACTAAAAATACACAGAATATTCCTCAGATGTTACTTGTCCATGCAAGCAGAGGCTGTAATTGCCACAGGGATGTTCTATAATTGGAATTGGGAAGGAGAGTGGTCCAGGAGTGGGAGGAGAAGCAGTTCATGGGCAATCTTTTCATTAAAGTGTGGTCCATTGTGTGGAGAGACGTTGGAGAGCCCACTGGATATTGAGACTCTCATGGCAGGGTCCTGCAGTGGGTGTGGGGCTCTGAGAGCCTCGTGCTGATTCTTTCGAATTGTTCCAGGAGTTCAAGGAGTTCTTGTCATCTCCAAGATTAGTTTTCCTTGGTTTTTTTCCCCGTGGCTCCCAACAGGAGTTAAACCCCCGTGTGGGTTGTGGGCAGAGCTGCATCCCCAAGTGTTTGGTGTGGAGGGAGGTTCTCTGGTGGCTGTTTTACTGGGATGGAGTGCAGAAGGGGTGTCCTGCTCCTCCCAGCACTGAGGATGGAATGTGGCCCTGCTAACCTGTCCCTGTTTGTGTTTGCAGCATGATTGGGCTGATGCTGGGCACTTGCATCGCCTTCTACGTCGTCATCGGCGATTTGGGCTCCAACTTCTTTGCCCAGATGCTCGGATTGCAGGTGAATAAATCACTCCTGCTGTGCTCCCAGCCCTTGCACTGAGCCCTGGGGACAGCAGAGCTCCTGCTCAGCACCCCTGGGGTCCCAGGGGGGCTTTGTGGGGTCCCCTCATGGAGATCCTTGTGCACAGAGCCTCTGCTCTGGGAAGTGTGGGGAGCTCAGACATATGGCAAACAATCAGCTGTGTAAAACTCCAATAAGGCATTTCCATCAAAGGAATTCTTTTTAACTTGGTCCCTTATTAATTCTGGAGCAGATTCCTTGGGGGAGATAATGCTTCCTGCCTTAATTCCTGCCCCAGTGGGTAGTGACAGGCAGTTCCTCTGCCTGAGCTCTCCTCCCTGTAGTTCAGGAGGGATTTTTGTCCTGTCCCTGGCTGGTTTTGTGGCCAGAGTCTCTCTGTGTTCCTGCCTCCTCAGCCGTGTGATGAGCCTGCTGCTGGCTCAGGGTGCTCAGAGGCAAGAGGTGCTCCTCAGAGCCGGCACGAGGGCCGTGCAGGGAAGCAAAAGGATTTTTGGTAGAGTGTTATCTGTGCTGCCTGATGCTCCTAAGCTCAGATTAAGGGACTGTGAAGTTAAAAAAGATGCGTTGAGGCTGCAGCCAAATTAGGTATTAAATATTTCCAAGCATTCCAGAGTGTTCTGCTATAATAAATAGCAGTGTGAGGCTTTGATTAATTTTCTGGATTGGAGTTTTCAACACTTTCAATTTCTCGTCTCCCCAAGTAAATTTAGGTTTTATTTAATTGCATGAAAATACCTAAACAGCTTGTGCTGGATTAGCATTTAACCCCCCCAGCCACCCCCCAGGTTCTTCCAGCTCGGACCTGTCACACACTGCAGAGCAACAGTGGCACCCAGTGACTGTCTCAGCTCAGCACAGACAGAGCCCGAGCCTGCAGCATCTCCAAACACCTCCAGACACACAATTGCACTGTTTGAAGTTGCTTTTCACTCTGGGAAGATGAGCCATGCCAGGGTTTGCTGCCTGGGGGTGTGTGGGGTGTGCTCCCCCTGCAGGTGCTGATGCAGGTGTGTTGTGCAGGTGTCAGGTCCGTTCCGCATTGTGCTGCTCTTCGCTGTGTCCCTGTGCATTGTCCTTCCCCTGAGCCTGCAGAGGAACATGATGGCCTCCATCCAGTCCTTCAGTGCCATGGCTCTCATCTTCTACAGCGTGTTCATGTTCGTGGTGGGTACGGACAGCGGGCACCCCCTTTCCCTCCTTTCTGTTCCTTTTTGGTGTCCAGTTTCACCTCCCACATGCTCCTGTGATTCCCTCCTGCAGCTCCAGCCCTGTCTCTCCCAAATTTCAGGACTGGAAGGAAAGGGAGCTGTGGGAATTCTCTCCATGTAGCGTTTCTAGTAGGCTGTGCAGGGTCACACCTCCGAGCTGCCCCCTCAGGCAGGTGTGGAGCCTCCCAGGAGCTGTGCCTTTAAGAAACCACAACGTTCACAAGAGCTGGCTGCACTGAACCATCTCTGGGGATTAGAAACCCCATCCAAGGATATTATAAACAGACATTCAGACATATTTACCTTCTGCTTCCTGTGCAACCCAACTCCTGCCAGTTCTTGTGTCCATGGCAAGGGAGCTCCCTGGCCTCGGCTCCTCCCTCTTTCCATGAAGCTTTTCCTTCTCTTTGGTGAGCTGCTGGTGTTAAATGGCCCTGGAGCAGCAGGTGGGATCCTGTTTTAGGACCCTTTGTCTCTCTCTGCTGAACAGGATTCTCTGAGGGCAGCAGTGCTTCCTGTTTGGATTTAAAAACACATTTAAAAAAGTGCAAAAGAGGTTGCTTTGAACAATGATTCTCACAGTGAATGTGTCGGTGGAAACTGTGCGTGCTGTGATGTCTGATGGCATCAAACCAGGGGGGAATGTCACAGATCCCTTGGAATGCTCCCTGGTGGCCCTGGGGGCTGTGTGGGTGGGATGTGGAGCTGGGGGATGGGGATGGGGCTGTGCTGGCAGCTCGGGTTGTCCCAGACTGGCATTGCTGCTGCCCTGCAGCTGTCTGGGGCTGGCTGCTCACCCCTGCTGTCTGTCCTGCTGCAGGTGGTGTTGTCCTCCTTCAACCACGGGCTGTTCAGCGGGCAGTGGCTGCAGAGGGTCAGTTACGTGCGCTGGGAGGGCATTTTCCGCTGCATCCCCATCTTTGGAATGTCCTTTGCCTGCCAGTCGTGAGTACCTGCCTTCCCCAGCCCTGGCACTTGCTCCTGCAGTGGGTTTGTGTGGGGGCACAGGGTCAGGAGGGTCTGCAAGGGATAGATACCATCTGCTTTGGTGGTTTGTTTTCATCAGGCTGCTTTACGGGCTCGCTGAAGTTCAGCCTCTCATTCAGTCGTGACCCTTTTGTTACCCAGACCCTTTTGTTATTCCATTTCACCTGGGAATTCTTGTAATGGAGCAACATGAGACCACTGGAGGCAAACAGCTCCTCGGGAGCTTCTGGTGCAGCTGCAGGAGGGATGAAATTCCCCTGGTTCTTGAAGGGAATGGAAGAGCACCAGGAAAGGCTGTGCCACCCCCTGTGTGACCCCCTGAATGCTGGGGGCATTGAAGGGAATGGAGGGGCACCAGGAAAGGCTGTGCCACCCCCTGTGTGACCCCCTGAATGCTGGGGGCATTGAAGGGAATGGAGGGGCACCAGGAAAGGCTGTGCCACCCCCTGTGTGACCCCCTGAACGCTGGGGGCTGCTTAGATCCCCCACATTTCCTGGAGAGCACCCTGAAGGTCACACAGGTGTTGGCTTTGGAGGGGTGTTCCTGCATTTCCAGATCATTGTAGAACTCCTGCATTTCCAGCTCCCTGGGTGTAGTGGCACGTGGAAGGAGCTGAGAGCAGACCAGGCCATTTCCACCTGTCCGGTTCCCTGGCTTTGGGAGGGTTTCTGTGACAAGTGGAAGAAGGTGAGGGCAGGCCAGGCTGTGCCAGGTTTCCAGCAGCATTCCCTGCTGCCCAGGACAGCAGGTGGGTGCTGTGTGACAGCTCTAACCCCTGTAAATCCAGCCCTGGGCAGGGGAGGACTGGCCTGCTCTGGAAGGAGCATCCTCCTCTGGCAGTGCTGGGCTTCCCCCTTGTAGCTCCAGCTAACGGGTCTCGTGCCAACACTAAATGAATGTGACAGATAAAATTTGCTCAGACTGCTGTGTTTACACCCACTCCAAGATCCAAATCATCATTTCCCACTTACTGGCTCTCTTGGCAGCTCAGATCCTACCCCGGCACACTCCAGGCTTGCTGTTTAATGTCTCCATTACAACTGGCAAAGGGAATTGTGTTCTCTTGCAGCTTTACCTTGTTAACAAATCCCTTTTATTTTTTCCTTATGGAAGCCATGCAGTACCCAGAACAATTTTCCTGGGAGTTGGAAATGCAGGGAAATGGTTTGGTCTGGACCTGTGTGTGTGCCTAAATATGGGCTCCATGGCAGCACTTTTGTGGCAAACCCAATCTAAAGCTGTGTGTTTTCTCCAAACACCAGGAAAATACCCTGTCCCCAGCCCAGGCAGTATTTATATCTTTTTTTAAAATTTCTTTCCGTCTGTGTATTCTCTCTCTTTCTCTCTCTACCCACCATATACTTATATAGAATATACTATATGGTATATAGAATATACTATACTTATATAGAATATACTATATGGTATACATGTACCATATAGAATATACTTTATTCCTTTTTTTATGTGTAATTTATCTATGTAGCCTCAGCTGGGTAGATTTAACTTTACTAACCTTTTTAACCATCCCACACACTGCAGAGCCTCTCTGTTTCCCTCTTTTTACCTTCCCAAGCCTGAATGTTTAGCTGGAGGTGGCTGTGGAGAGGGCAGGGAGGAATCCCAAATGGAGAGATGCCCAGGGAAGCCAATCTCCTTTCTCCAGGGAGGAATCCTAAATGGAGGGACTTTGGGAAGCCAGTCTC